CTCCAGCCAGCATGCTGGCTGGAGGATTCTGGGAGTTGAAGTCCACACATCTTAAAGTTGCTGAGGTTGAGAAACACTGGTATATACTATACAGCAATTAGCTGTGGCTTTTCAGATGGCAGTTTCAATGTGAAAACTGAAAACAAGGTGCTATAATCAATCTTCTATTTAAGCTATTTGAAATACACCACAAGAAAACGTTTTCATGTTTTCTGTCTTTGCATTATCTGCCCAGGATTTAGGATGGTACAATCACATTCTTCTTCTAGGAAGTTAAGGTCTCTTGTTTTATGTTACTTCATAATCCTGAAATGTTTAAAGAAATCCAAATTTCAGGCTCTGAAGATTAATTATGTGCCATCAAGTCAATGTTGACTCTTAGTGGCTAGCTAGCTAGCTAGGGAGGCTCTGAAGGCTACAATTAAAATAAATGGGGCAAAATCAGGCACATTACCTTTTCACGAACACATTTTCAGAAGGGCCAGCAGGACTGATGCCACAGCCCACCTGCAGATTGAGAAAGCATTCCTTCATGGCCATTCTTAAGGAAGAACGCTGGGACTATCCTAAGATCTTTATTGTCTTGCAATTTTGCCATACCCATCAAACACAGGTTAATGGGTAAAATGAAACCACAAGTTCGTTGCTCTATGAGGCGTTTCCAGCGATAAAGAACCTACAGCCAGGCTCCATCGGGATAGACCTCAAGATTAGGTTTTCAATACTGCTAGATCTATGCAGCCTCTACCAGCTGTTCTGGACTCAGTTTTACTGGAAACTTAAGGACATCTGTTATCCAGTACCAAGTATATTCCCCCCCCCCCCAACTCAAATGTTATATCGGCTAAAAGTGTGTGGGCAGGTATATAAAAATCCAGATGGCATTCAATCTACTGCTCTTTTACAGCTGCACGTGCTCCTCTCCTCCCCAAGTCATAATTTGAAAGATGAAAACGAAATGAGATTCCATACCAAGCCATGCCTGTTTCTTCATCCGGAGCAGCTACACTGCACTTGTGCTGCGGGGCTCACCTGGAAAAGCCAGCTGCCAAATTGCAACCACAGAAAAACGTACGCTGAACAAGAGCACAAGGCTGTCACAAACACAGCTACATCCTTCTTTTCCTGTAGTTGCGCAAAACTTTGTACCCAGCACTTCAGCTATCAATTTCATCCCCAAACTACCCTGCAAGTTAAGTTGGGCTGAGATATACCAACCAGCTTGGTGGACTTTAACCTGGGTCCTCCCACCCCACTGCCAAACTGGCTTCTGTAAAATTTTATTTACAAAGACTCCTTTAATTACTGCCGCTATAGCTCTGGTATTAAGGCAGGGTTCCTCAACCTCAGCAACTTTAAGATGGGTGGACTTCAACTCCCAGAATTCCCCAGCCAGCCA